GAGCATGACTTACGGTTAGAATTGGCAAGGGGATATTATGAAAATTCGCTTCAAGACCGTAACGAACTTTTGTCTTTACAAAGGGAAAGAGTGCAAGCAATTAGGAGTAACGAGACAGAGAATGAACGTGCAAATTGGTTACAAGCTGATCGTATTCGTACTTTTATAAATCGTTCACCCACCTTTACTCCGCCGTCTATGGACAGAGAGAACTACACTGATCTCCCCTGGGGTGATAAAGAAAATAGTGGATTTACCTACACTTTTAATATTAACTATAGTGAATTTGCAGAGATCGGAAGAATGATTCGCACTTGTAGTCATTGTCAATCACTTAAGTGATCTAAAGAATCAAACGGGTTTTGCTGTTCAGCTGGCAAGGTACAATTGGAAATATTTCAAGAGCCCCCAGAACCTCTTAAATCGCTACTTAATGGGGACCATCCACATTCCAAGCAGTTTTTAGATAATATCCGTTCATACAACGGGGCATTCCAGATGACTTCTTTCGGGGCCAAGCAAGTGGTACATGGAACATTTATGCCTAATTTTAAAGTGCAGGAGCAAGTCTATCACTTAATTGGTTCGCTTTTGCCTGAGACAAAACCAAAGTGTTTACAAATATATTTCGTTTCTGATTACCATGAACAAGCCAATATAAGGAGGCAGAATTTCCCAAATTTAAACGCTAATGTTATCTCCGAGCTTCAGGGTATGCTGCATCAGGTCAACCCTTATGTATCCAATTTCAAAGCCGTACTAGAGTCGATCCCTCAAGATGAATACAATAATTATAAGTTTGTTATTAGCGCGGATAAGCGACCTTTAGTGCAACATTCCGGCCGTTATAATTCTCCATCCACCAATGAAGTGGCAGTTATCCTGGTGGATCAGCAATGCGACAAGCGCGACTAATACGTACGTATAATTAGTACGTACGCGTGATGGCCGCCTGCAACGAATTAGTGAGACTCGTCGTTCTTACGACTCCTTACAATACCCACTTATTTATTGTCGCGGTGAAGATGGTTACAACTATACGGTTTATCAAGTTGACCCTGCTACAGGAGCACCTCGGTTAGACAGAAAAGTTTCGGCTCTGCAATTTTATTGTTATCTCATGCAAATAAGACAGCGTCGTTTTGTATATTTACAACGATTTCGTGGCTTATTTAACCAGTTTATTGTTGATATGTACGCAAAAGTTGAAACAGAGCGTTTAGTATTCATTCGTACTCATCAGAGACAGTTGCGTGCCGAAAATTATGTGGATCTTCATGATGAAGTACAGGGAGATACACATATAGAAAATTTAGGACGTTTAGTTATATTGTCTTCCAGCTTTATCGGGAGTCCGCGAAATATGAATGAACGAGTTCAAGACTCATTCTGTTATGTTCGCAAGTATGGTAGGCCAGATCTTTTCATAACAATAACTACTAACCCTAAATGGATCGAGATTTCTCAAGAGCTGCCAGAAGGTCAAGCATCGTACGATCGACACGATTTAATTAGTCGAGTTTTTTATTTAAAGTTAAAGTTGTTAATCAACTTATTAACAAAGCAAAATGTTTTTGGCGCTACGTTATGCTATACATACAACGTGGAATGGCAAAAGAGAAGGCTGCCCCACGCACACATTCTTCTATGGTTATTGGAAAAAATTCGTCCTAATGACGTTGATAATATAATAAGTGCAGAATTACCAAATCCCACAAGTGATCCTATTTTACACCAAATTGTTAAAACACGGATGATACACGGTCCTTGCGGTGCATTAAATAATAGTTCTCCGTGCATGAAGGATGGACAATGTACGAAAAAATATCCAAGACCCCTTTTAAGGGAAACAATCACTGGTGAAGATGGTTATCCCAAATATCGGCGGCGTGCTCTACAGTATGGAGCATTCACAACAAAATTGAGAATGTTTGGACAAGATGTAGAAGAAGATAACAGGTGGGTAGTGCCGCACTCACCTGTGCTATCGAGAACCTTCCAAACCCATATAAACATAGAAATGTGTAACAATGTTGAATCCATTAAATACATTTTTAAGTATGTAAATAAAGGGACGGATCAAGCAACACTTGCAATGAGCAATGACAGATTTGACGAAATTACAAGATTTAAATCAGGGCGATATATAAGTTCTTCGGAGGCAGCATGGTGAATATTCAGTTTCCCAATAAGCGAGCGTAATCCCCCGGTAATGCATTTAGACGTTCACGTGGAAGGCGGGCAACGCGTATATTTTCACCCAGACAATATTGTGGAGCAACTAGAGAATCCTAGATAAACAACTTTACTGGCGCTCTTTCGATTACGCGAATCTGACGATTTCGCAAGAACTTTGCTTTATGAAGAAGTTCCAGTGTATTATACATACGATAAGCAACAGAGGATTTTTAATCGTCGCCGACGTGGTATTCCTGTTGAAGGTTTTCCCAAACTTTTTAAAGAAGGCAGAGTGTACACTGTACATCTTAATAACTCCGAATGTTTTTACGTACGTTTACTTTTGCATAAGGTACGAGGACCCACATCATTTTTGGCTTTGAAAATGTTCAACAACACTCAATATCCCTCTTTTCAAGCTGCTTGCCGGGCTCGAGGGTTATTGGAGGACGACCAGCACTGGGACAACACCCTCGCTGAAGCATCTGTTAGTGATAGCCCGCGTCGTTTACGGAATTTATTTGCGGTGTTGTTAGTATTTTGTGGCCTTTCAGATGCTAATCAACTTTGGGTTAAATACCAAAAAAGTTTAGCTGAAGATTACATTAATTTTGAACATGGTGAACTAAATCAAGAGATGCTCAATGACGTATTGAATCGTTGTTTATGTGATATACAAAGCACAGTTTTTTCAATTTGTGGTAATCCCTTAATACGCTATGGATTACCTGAACCAATCTTAAATGTCGAACAAAGTAATCTAGAGTATGCAACGGAACCCAATTACGACTCAGAAGAACTAGCCCAAATTCTGCATGTAGGTGTACCTATCATGACCCCCGAACAAAGAATTATTTTCGATCGTATATGTAACAGCGCTTTGAACTCCTCTGGTGAAATGTTTTTTTTTTTGGATGCCCCTGGTGGTACTGGTAAAACATTTCTTACAAAACTTATCCTTGCGCAAATACGTAGCCAGGGAAAAATTGCATTGGCCGTGGCATCGTCCGGAATTGCAGCTACCTTACTTCCAGGAGGCAAAACTGCACATTCCATGTTCAAAATACCCACACAATTAGACGTCACTGAAACCCCCATTTGCGATATTTCACGTAATAGTGACATAGCTCGAGTACAATACGACACAACAATCAACTTATGGGCGGAGTCACTATGCTCTTCTGTGGAGATTTTCGGCAGACATTGCTAAAGTTACACGCGGGGCAAGAGCCGATGAAATTAGAGCATGATTAAAAAAATTTAATTCTTTGGCCCCATATTACAAGGTTAAATCTCACCACAAACATGCGAGCGCAAAGAGGCGAGAACACAAATTTGTTGTGAAGATAGGTTTCCTGAGGTTGATGGTAGAATATATTTAATTAATAATTTGTGCAAAACAGTCCTTAACATTGAGGAACCTATTATATCTGTTTATGAAGATCTGGCTGGTATAGTAAACCAAGGAAACTCTTGACTTTGTGAGCGCGCTATACTTACGCCTCGTAATGATCAAGCTGTAAGTATCAACATGACTATTTCAGAATGTATTGAAGGGGAAAACGTTACCTATACGTCAATAAATAGAGTAGTTGACCGTGAAGAAGTAACAGCTTATCCTGTAGAGTTTTTGAATGCATTAACGGCGTCTGGGCTCCCTGCACATGAAATTAAACTTAAGGTATGGGTCCCCATAATTCTTTTAAGAAATTTAAGTCCACCAAAATTATGCAATGGTACTCGGCTCAAAGTAGTTGCTCTTCAGAGACATGTGGTTGAGGCAGAGATACTTACCGGTTGCGGTGCGGGTGAGAAAGTTTTTATTCCACGAATACCGATTATTCCGAATAACTTTCCGTTTCGTTTTAAACGGATCCAACTGCCGGTCAGTGTTAGCTTTGCAATAACGATAAATAAGGCACAGGGACAAACGCTAAGCAGAGTAGGCGTTGACCTTACGAACAGCTGCTTTTCACATGGGCAGCTCTATGTCGCAATGTCGCGTATCAGCGATCCCACTAATTTGTTTATTTTAGCACCACAAAACAAAACGGCGAACGTTGTTTATGAAGAGGTCCTTTGTTAACTGAATATTTGTTTTTCACATTTTTTTACTTTTCAAGTTCTAACACAACCGTAATTAAATAAATAAAACCATTAAATTAAATTGCATATTAATATCCCCTTTTTGACTCCTTGTTTTGTATTTATTAAGATTTTATTATTCATAAACCAGAAATAGATTAGGTAGTATAAAGCTGGCATTACGTTTTCTTAAAATGTCGATATTATCATAAAATGGATCATCCTTGCCGTCAAGTCATCTAAAATTAAAAGTAAATAAAAATGATCTATTTTAGCCCTTTTCACGAAGGTAACGTTCAGGTAGGCATAAAAGAATCTACTTGATTATAATGAACATATCATTATATATACTCGGTTTGAAAATATAAAAGAATTGGAGAAAAAGATTACATGCGAACGAAGCGCGGGCACAGCTAGTTGAGAATAAATGTAGATGTCTATGGGCCACAGACTCCACTTACCACCGGTTGGACTGTGTGCTCGTATGTCACCCATATTCTACTAAAAAAAAGCACTGAGTTGACATTCATTCTTTAACTATAAATTATTTTTTTATAGAAGGGGCCAAACGAGTATGCGGCTCACCTGATGGTAAGTGACTACCGCCGCCCATGAACAACCGCAACACCAGGGGAATTGCAGATGCGTTGCCGGCCTTATAGAAAGTAGTTATTTACCTTAAATATTTAACAAAATATTTAAGGTAACTCATAATATCTGGTAATGAATCACTAGAATTAAAGTTCAGTTTCATTTCCTGGTTTTGGGGGAGGGGGTGCGGTGGGCATTGCATAATATTTCTCATAAATAGCATCCCAAAAAAGAATGCGTTGCTGTATCAGAGGTCCTCGCAGTTTCATTGTGTTATCGAGAGACATATGAGGTCCACCGTTTGCATCGGTAGGCGGCCACATTGGAAGGTCTGACCCCTTTGGAACCGGTTTTCTGCAATTATCAGAATATAGACGTTATGTTTTTTTGTTCAGAAATTATTTTAACTAAACTAACAAGGGGGGTATTTGCCATAGTTGCCATATTTGCCATAGACCTGGTAAGACATGCAGGAAGTCGATGGATGCAGGTGGCTCAGGACCGTGCTTTGTGGCATTCTTTGGGGGAGGCCTATGTTCAGCAGTGGACTTGTGAAGGGCTGTAATGATGATGATGATGATGATGAAACTAACAAGGTATCAAAAAAGTATGAAGAAGTAGCAAAAATTACTTTGAAGCAAGTTGTTGGAATTTATTTACAGGACAGACTTTCACTCGAGGTAGTTGCTTTAAAAATCTATAACCCTATCTTGTCCCGTGGGTATAAAACCCATTAGACGAGAAATGCCATGTTCAATTCAATAGATGGCGTGTATATACTGTATGTAAGGAGTAACTTAGGCTACTTTTATTTTAGGGTTCCGCGCGAAAAAATTCCACGCGGGCGATGTCGCGGGGAACAGCTAGTATAATTAATATTACATATTACAATAATATTACGTGGTATAGCCATGCTGCAGCTATATTACTGGTATAGTTGTAACACAAAACGGGGAGGGACTCTCCGGTCGAGCAGAATACCAGGGTAATATAGCAACTAAACGCTGCTGTGTTTCGTATGGTGAGTGTAGAGAACCGAAGAACCTTTTTATTGGAAACGAGGCATTTCATCATAGTCCTCAGGGATGATAACGCATCTGCATTTTGATTCGTAATCGAGGATAGATGTAAATGGGCCTATGGGCCTATGGGCCACAGCAACCACATACCATCAGGTCGACTGTATGCTCATATGTCGCCCTTATCCTAAAAACAAATTATCATAATATACTTAGACTCGAAAACAAACAATGATTTCGAATATAATTAAAAACCATTATTATCTACAACTTAGCAGTTAAATATGCCGACTGCTAAGCCAGACGATTGCTAAACGAATTAATATAATATATTATATTTTTAAATATATTGAATACTAGACTAGATGGCCTGGCAAATGTTGTTCTGCCCTTTCTGGTAGATGGTGAGGTGACACGAATTCATTCCGGGACTTTTACCTACCTAATTATTAATAACTACACCTAGCGGGCTAAGATTTTCTAACTTTCTGTTTTTGCATCAAACCAACATATTTTGTGTATATGACTCATAAGTTTAGTCCAAAAATAAAGAATTTGTTAATAACTTGACTTCAGCGCCACCTATCAGATCTTAGCATAGCTGTGAGCCATCACCTCAACAAAAAATATTTTATAGGCAAGTCTATTAGTATATTATATGTATAATTTTTCGATACGACTCTGAGGATTTAAATAAATTTAGGTAACGTTTTACTTTTCAAGTGTATCTGGATTGGTTTCATCTCTGAGATATATGCTCGAACGCTCAATTACTTCGGTGTTAAAATGACCTCAATCTGTCAAGTCGTAAAAAGTAACGAAGTGACTAGCAAATGCAAAAACGATTATTATAATATATAGCGATTAATTTGGTGTTCTATTAGCAATCTGGTACTGACACGGGTAATGTTGCAAAACATTACACTAGATAGAGTGATGATATGACACAATGGATGAAAGTGGTTCTTGATACAGGACCATACATTGTTACAATATATGGAGGAGACCTATGTTCAGTAGTGGACTAGTTATGGGCTATAATTATGATGATAATGAAGATATTTTAAACCACATTACCCTGTTGTGATAAAGTTGAAACATAATTCTCTCATCAACTGCTTCATATTTGTAAAATCTTGTGTATCAGCTGGAGCATTTGAGAAAAATTCGTCTCCTATAGCCATTGCTTGTGCGCAATGGTTAGCAAATTAGTTTTCACCATTGCATAACAATTTGAAACTCCGCGGACGATATACATTTTAATTATCAAAACAGCGCCATCTATCTATATATCTATAATTTTTTTTTTTTAACTAAAAACATATAAATTTTCAATCGTTTAATACTATATATGTATGTAAACTGATTAAAACTGGTCTGCCTGCAATAAATGCAAAATTCTCATTAAATCATTATTTCGTGAAATTGTGTCCTTTCATGATATTTATCACTGTTTGTTGACCATGTCATGATATAGCTTAGTCGTAGTAATAAACATAACATTGCTATTTCATGATAATATGGTCATATCGTCAAATAGTTTTTCATCGCTAGCTACGCTGATAGCGTGTTTTTTTTTATCAGAAACAAATTTTTAACAGAATCAACATCAGTTTATGTCTTTTTTTTATATAGGATAGGGTGACAAACGAGGACACAGTCCACCTGATGGTAAGTCGTTGCTGTGGCCCATAGACATCTACATTTATCCTCGTTCGCGAATCAAAATGCAGATGCGTTGTCACCCGTGAGGACTAAGATGTAACGCCTCTTTTCCAGTAAAAAGGATCTCCGGTTCTCTACACTCACCATACGAAACACAGCAGCGTTAAGCTGCTATTTTACGCTGGTAGTCTGTGAGAGCGTGGTCCTTCCCCGGTCGAGCCGACCAATTCGTGCCACGATTATACTACTAATATAGCTGCAGCATGGCTCTACCACGTACAAAAATAAAAATAGTTTTGATTTTCATTGTTTTAATGTAATATAGCGCCCACTGCTTTCTGATAAATAAACTTATGATAAGTAACTGATAAAATTAAATTTTTGAATGCTACTGAATACTTATTCGTGTAGCATCAGAAATTGTCACATTTAAAATTATCTAGACCGGTGCCCATTATCGAGGTGATTTACCACAATTACCATGGTTGGCAAAATGGCTAACGACACTGTTATATACAACACGTCTTTTTTGTGTGCACAGTATCCAGTACTGTGTACACAAAACTGAGAAAAGAGAAGCTCTTTAGTTGAATATATTGGGTGTCTGTCGGCATAGGTTTCATTTTACCAACTTCATATGTTATCACGTAACCTGATGTAAATAATTGAAAATTAAATGCACTTTAAGATTTTACCTCTATTTGATGGAATAGTTCGTGGCATCGTTGGGTTTCTAATTACTATTTTTTTTTATAGAAGAGGGGGCAAACGAGCATGCGGCTCACCTGATGGTAAGTGACTACCGCCGCCCATGAACAACTGCAACACCAGGGGAATTGCAGATGCGTTGCCGGCCTTTTAGAAAGGTGTAAGCTCTTTTCTTGAAGGTTCCTAAGTCGTATCGGTCCGGAAAATTCGCTGGTGGTAATTGATTCCACAAAGAAGTTGTGCGAGGGAGAAAACTTCTTCTAAATCGCACAGTGGTGGACCGCCAATCATCCAGATGGTATGGATGGTAACGCGAGTTTTGTCGCGATGTGCGATGGTGAAATTGAGCGGCTGGAATTAGTCCGAACAATTCCTCAGAGCACTCCCCGTGATACATGCGATAAAATACGCAAAGAGATGCCACATCTCTACGCAGTGCCAGTGTATCGAGCCGATCAGAAAGAACTCGGTCGTCGACGATTCGAACCGCTCTGCGCTGGATGCGGTTAAGTGGAAGGAACTGGCACTGGGATGCCCCGGCCCAGAGATGAGAACAGTATTCCATGTGGGGCCGAACTTGCGCTTTGTAAAGTTGTAAGCGATGTGCCGGCATGAAATACTGTCTCGCTCTGCTGAGCACACCAAGCTTTTTAGAGGCCAATTTGGCCTTCCCTTCCAAGTAACCACGAAACTGCACACTATTCGATATGTCGACGCCAAGGATTCTGATACTAGCTGAGGCAGCAAGGGGAGTGCCTTGAAACTGAGGAGATACGACAAAGGGGTTCTTTTTAGCGGTAAACACGCAAACTTGTGTCTTCTGGGGATTGAACTGGACTAGATTTAGTCGGCCCCAATCCGAGACTTTGTTAAGCAAAGACTCGACTTCAGACACAAGTTTGTCCCGGTACTCAGGGACGTTTTCCCGAGAAATATTGGCACGGCCGGTATATAAGGCATCACCAGTGCTGTCGTCCGCATAGCAATGAATGCTACCAGTTAGCAACATATCATTGATATGCAGGAGAAACAGTGTTGGTGATAGCACGCAGCCTTGTAGAACACCAGCGTTGATAGGCTTGAAATCAGAGCATGCACCGTCTACTACGACCTTGATACTCCGAACAACAAGGAAACTGGTGATCCATTTGCACAATTTCTCGGGAAGCCCATAGGAAGGAAGCTTCGAAAGAAGCGCTTTGTGCCAGACCCGATCGAAGGCCTTCGCTATCTCTAAACTAACGGCCAGTGCCTCCCCCTTGGACTCTACTGCCTCCGCCCATCTATGAGTCAAATAGACTAGAAGATCACCAGCTGATCGACCTCGACGAAAACCGTACTGGCGGTCACTAATCAGCTGGTGATTCTCAAGGTACCTCATGAGCTGGCAGTTTATAATGGATTCCATTATTTTGGAGAACAAGGAGGTGATGGCAATAGGCCTGTAGTTGGACGGGTCTGAGCGGTCGCCTTTTTTAGGGATCGGGTGGACTAAAGCTGTCTTCCATGAATTCGGGACTACGCCTTGGGAATAGGAGTACCGGGAAAGACGCGTTAAAACCGGTGCCAACTCCGGAGCACACGTCTTCAGCACAATGGGAGGGACTCCATCGAGCCCACTCGACTTGCTGACGTCCAGGGAAAAGAGTGCTTTGCGAACCGAGCGCTGTGTAAATCGCACATCCGGCATGGAGCACTCACATCGCGAGATGGTCGGCGGTGTATTCCCCCCGTCATCTAGAGTCGAGTTGGACGCAAAAAGAGAGCTCAACAGATCGGCTTTCTCCTTTGCGGCATGGGCCAGTGAGTCGTCCTCCCTGTGCAGAGATGGAAGAGATGGCTGACAGAAGTTCCCTTGGACAGCCTTGGCGAGAGACCAGAATGCACGGGTTCCCGAAGGAAGGCAAACTGGCTTCTCGCCAATTCTGCCGATGTGCTCAGACCTTGCCTTGGCTTTGATAGGTAGATATAGTCAACAATCGTACGAAATAAATACGAAAGCCGAGTAGCTCACCGTGAGATTTCATCGTGGCATGGGAGCAAAACGTGTACGAGTCCTTTCAGGAGAAATGAATCTGTTATGGGAAATTTTTAGTGCTGACTTACCACATATCCGGTGAAGTGGTGAGGAATAACTTCGTGGGAAAACCTAAATGTATGAGTAGTTACAAAAGTCGTGGAAATGTAAAAACCGTTAATGCGCATTGAAGCATTGCGGCATACTCTTTTCTGCCCACAAAACACTATAGATAATGAAGAGCCCTGTGCACAGTAAGACGTATGTAAGCTACTACTTTAGTTTTTATACCCGTAATGAGGCTTATAAATCAGTTTATCATTTAAGATTATTGTATTTTGTGTTTTCATATCATCAGACAAATTAAGATTTTTGTGACAGTCCACCTGATGCTAAGTAGTTGCTGTGGCCCATAGACCATCTTCCACCCATCTTCGCTTGCGAATTAAAATGCAGATGCGTTGTCAGCTGTGGGGACTAAAATGGAATGCCTCTTTACCAGTAAAAAATGTTTACTCAATATTCGGAACGTTTGACTGCAGACCGGGAACGTCATGCGAGATCACGTGCTTCGGTATCATTTATTCAATATGAAGCGAGGTTAGCAGCAGATAGGGAGAGCCGTTTGATAAGAAGGACACATGAAACCTAGCAGGAGCATGACTTACGGTTAGAATATGCAAGGGGATATTATGAAAATTCGCTTCAAGACCGTAATGAACTTTTGTCTTTACAAAGGGAAAGAGTGCAAGCAATTAGGAGTAACGAGACAGAGAATGAACGTGCAAATCGGTTACAAGCTGATCGTATTCGTACTTTTATAAATCGTTCACCCAATTTACTCCGCTGTCTATGGACAGAGTGAACTACACTGATCTCCCCTGGGGTGATAAAGAAAATAGTGGCTTTACCTACACTTTTAATATTAACTATAGTGAATTTGCAGTGATCGGAAAAATGATTCGCACTTGTAGTCATTGTCAATCACTTAAGTTGTCTAAAGAATCAAACGGGTTTTGCTGTTCAGCTGGCAAGGTACAATTGGAAATATTTCAAGAGCCCCCAGAACCTCTTAAATCGCTACTTAATGGGGACCATCCACATTCCAAGCAGTTTTTAGATAATATTCGTTCATACAACGGGGCATTTCAGATGACTTCTTTCGGGGCCAAGCAAGTACTACATGGAACATTTATGCCTACTTTTAAAGTGCAGGGACAAGTCTATCACTTAATTGGTTCGCTTTTGCCTGAGACAGAACCAAAGTTTTTACAAATATATTTCATTTCTGATTACCATGAACAAGCCAATATAAGGAGGCAGAATTTCCCAAATTTAAACGCTAATGTTATCTCCGAGCTTCAGGGTATGCTGCATCAGGTCAACCCTTATGTATCCAATTTCAAAGCCGTACTAGAGTCGATCCCTTAAGATGAATACAATAATTATAAGTTTGTTATTAGCGCGGATAAGCGACCTTTAGTGCAACATTCCGGCCATTATAATTCTCCATCCACCAATGAAGTGGCAGTTGTCCTGGTGGATCAGCAATGCGACAAGCGCGACTAATACGTACGTATAATTAGTACGTACGCGTGATGGCCGCCTGCAACGAATTAGTGAGACTCATCGTTCTTACGACTCCTTACAATACCCACTTATTTATTGTCGCCATGAAGATGGTTACAACTATACGGTTTATCAAGTTGACCCCGCTACAGGAGCACCTCGGTTAGACAGAAAAGTTTCGGCTCTGCAATTTTATTGTTATCTCATGCAATTAAGACAACATCG